TTTTTGAATGAGAGACTTCAGGATTTGAATCTTACATACACAAGTTCAAACACTAATTAACTCTTGCTTAGGCCATGGAATGACTACAGATTCAAATCAAAACAGCAAGATCTCTTCTGCTTTACAGCTCATTACAATAATTTAGCAACAAATTATCTTGCAAATGAAAATTTAGGAGGCCTTCAAAAAAGAAAATCAAACAAGACATTTCTTCTAAAAGTATTTCCCTTCTTTAAAAACCGTTCAAAATTTATCTTGATGTTAAGAAGAATAATCAATAAACTTTTATGAAGAACATTAGTTGGAAATTTTTAAAATGATAGATATCTTTCTTTTCCACCTTAAAGCAAAAATAAACATTTTAAATTGGAATTCATTAAAACTAAGGTGGTATAAAATATCCTTAAGTAACATAAATACATTTCCAAAGTATTATAACAAACTAAATTCCTAGTTATCAAAGAATTCCTAGATATCAAAAGTTCCTTAGTCAAAAAGGTATATGTAATGGAGAAGAAATTCCATTTTTATAATACATGAAGAACATACCCAATTAAATTACCCTTATCACAACAACAAATATTATCAAACCTTTAAAAACTTACTCAGTGTATTTTTTCTTTGTCTTTAAACATATCATTAGAAATTAGGAAAAATCATTACATTCTGGAATCTCACGTAGATAGTGAATGTGGTAGTCCATAAATCTCCAAATTAACATATATAAATATATCCTTAGATGAAGCAGTGTTGAAATCACACCCCTATATATTTTTCAAGGATTCTAATTTACCCAGGAATTCTGCAACACAGGAAACTTTTACACAGAGTTCATAAGAATTTTAGGTGAAACTTCCTCTTAAAGGTAAATAAGACTTGGAAGTTTATTCTAACCCATTCATTCTCCCCTATTTTGGGGGTGAGAGTAGAATTCTTGATCTAACATCTGTAGATTATAAGAGAAATTGCTTTTTCAACAACATAGCTGATACAATTTACCAGATTACACCATATAAAAAAATTCAGAAATATAACCATACCATAAGCAATTATTATGTACTTAAAACTTGAAACAGAACCAATTAGTTACCATCAGATGACCTTAATTTAGTTGGATGAATAATCAAATCTGGATTTATAATCACTAATGGTAACATTTTAATTTCTAAGGCCCAAAACTCTTAGCTCTTTAAACGAAAAGATTATTATCCATAAATTCACACTTTTATTTTCAGTTGAGGCCATGATGTATGGGAGAATACCTAATTAATTCCAAAACAGTGCATATCAATAAGTCATTCACAATGCAATGTTTGTACCACAGCACACACAGTATAAAGAGATATTACTTCCACAATAGTAATAAATTTTGAAATAATCCATTAGATGAAGGCACTTCCAAATCACTTTGCACAGAGAATCATTCATCTTATCACTAATATGCTGAAACTAAAGCTTTAAACCACCATATTTTATAATAGTCAAGATTTCAAGTGAAAAATCTTCTATCATAGTAAATATCAGTGTTATTATTACCTGCTTATAACCAAATTTACCTCATTAAATATTAACAGTTTTCAAATTATCTCTTTTTTATCTACAAGATATAGACCAAGCATAACAAACTTTAAGGCTTACACGGCTCATTGGTGAAAGGGTGGGTGGAGGTGGGAGCATTAGGGTCACTATACTGGTGAGTTAGCCTTCCTTTATTTGTCCTCTAGCAATTACCTTAAGGAGGATCCTTTAAAATTTCCTCTTCCAAAAATCCCTTTCTTCACAGCTTTAAGGGGCAAGGTGCTTGTAATAGTTATCTGTGGAGGTTAAAGGCATACCTCTGTCCAGATTATCTGTCACTTTGCCATATTCTTAGGATTATTGTCTCAATTTTTAACTTAAAAAGAACATAATTTTAAAAGAAAATATTTGATAGCTAGAAACAGTCTGAAAATTCTGTAGAATGTCATTTCTTTATGCTACCATTCTGATAAGATTACCAAATGAATGTGTGTAATCCATTTTCATATCTTTTCCTGACTATTTATCATCCCTAAAACCCAACCATTTCCATGTCTCTCTGGCTACTTCACAGAATATAAAGTGTCAGTGAAAATGGGAACATGTCTTGAAGCTAGCTTTTTCACTGGTACTCCTTATTTTAATATTACTATATTAATATTATTATACACTTGCTGTATTAATATTTTTTCAATTTTGACAATTATTCTTTTCCTTCTCTCTCCCATGGGAAAACACATAAAAATTTGCAAAGCAATGTAAAAAAAAATCCTGCATTGCCCATCTAAATAAATGGTAGCTAGATGTTAGAGATAAATATCTAAAGACTAATATGTAGCTAGTTTGACAAGTAAATGCAAAAAAAGTTAGATTAAGGTTCAGACTCTGAGCTAGATCAGTTTATTAATAGTGATTTGTATGACTGTTAAGAGGATGACTCTGCCAACCTCAGCAAAATCAAAGACCTTCAGAGAAGGAGGAGACCTTTATTTTTTTTTCTTTTCTTTTTCCTTTTTCCTTTTTTTTTTTTAGGCAATTGGGGTTAAGTGACTTGCCCAGGGTCACACAACTAGTCTCAAGTGCTTGGTCTGAGGCTGGATTTGAACTTGGGTCCTCCTGACTTCAGGGATGGTTGCTGTATCCACTGTGCCACCTAGCTTCCCCAAGACCCACTTTATTAACAGACAATAAAGAAGGGGTCTTGGTAGGCATGGAAAAAAGGTGATAGGTTTTTAGGGTTTGGGTAAGAACATTGCGATTAGATATAGTGAGGAATGTGTCTGGCATTCAAGTAAGATACCCTGGCATTTGGAGAAGGCTAATCTCTACCTTCTCTAATGATTAAGAAATGTTAATTGTTTTATGGGGCTCATCTCTAGCATGCAGTTATTACAAGGGATTATAACTAACAGACTTACTATCTCTTTAGAAGAAATAAAAACATCTTAACTACACAAAACAGGAAAGGACAGATGGCATGTATTTTGGAGATGGTAATTTTATGGGGCTAAAAAAATACATAATCGTGAAGTATCTAATGGAATGCTGGAATGAGAAATAGCAACCAATCTTTTAAACTAAACCATCTTTGAGATAGCTCACATGGATTCTTGAGCTCAACTTTAGCCAAGTGGATACAGACCAAATTATGAAATTAAGTTGAATTGTAGAATCATACAATAGAAATTAATAGAGAAAAAATCAGAGGTGATATTAGTTTTCATCTTTTCACTATGTATAGATAAAAACTTAAATATGATATATACTTGTGCGCATTATTTATGCCTATATTTTTATATATAGATAACATAGATATCGTAAACCATTTTGAGTGCCCCAAGGCCTAAAACTTGGATTGGCCAGTCAGGAGAAAGACATTTTGGCCCACTCTGAATTTAACCTGCCATAATGCTTTGAGTGCTCTGATATAACAGATATGCTTTGCTTTGCTCTCTGAGCAAACTTAAGTTCTCCTTCTATATTTTGTTGCCTAGGAACATTGCTCTGACAAGGATGGGGCCCACCAGACATTTCCCTTATTTTATTTGAAGTCTCTCCTTTGTTGGCCACTACCCTGAGTAATAGCATCCCTCTTTTCTGATGTTATGTTATGTTACATTATGTTACATTATGTCATGGCACGTCATGGCACGTTACGTTATGTTATGTTGCATTACGTTACATTATGTTATATCATGTCATGTAAATGACAGAAGAAACACAGCCATCCTGGAACTATAATTTCAATTGTCATGTTGACACATATCTTACTGTATTTATGTATCTATCCTATTAAGAAATTCCTTTCTAATATTATAGTTAACACATATGGAGATTATAATTTTTGCTGACACAGATATCCCAAGCAAGGAAAGGAGGAAGGGTGAGGCGGAATTACTCCAAAAATTTAAGGTTTCCTTTCTCTGTTGGGCTGATTTTCACAGTGAACTCCCATGAATGTCTCTATATGAATGATCTGTCAGCTTTGAGAGAAATAAATACGCACATGCAGCCTAATTTTGTTTATCTTTCTTAGAATGAACTCAGTAATGATTGACAATTAATATGAATGTGTATCAAGAGCTAAATATCTCTCTAAATCTATCTATGCATTCATCTATCCATAGTTTATAATTTTGCATTTGGATTTTATCTCCTGTTTGTCAGAAGCTGGACAGCATGATTATTTTTAATCCACGGCTTGAGGTTGAAATTATAAAAGACTGCAGTGAAATTTACAAGGGAAATTTAATGTGTAAGAGCAAATTTAAATGACTGTTTAAATTTTTTCAAAGATTTTTTATGTAAACCCCTTTTGACCTCAAAGATATCCTTACAAAATATTACAAGTATTATAATTATACAGATGAGAAAACTGAGACTCAGGAAAGTTCAAGACTTTAAAAATGTAATGGTGTGCTGAAGTAACAGGCATTATTAGATCCTAAGCATTCCTACCTCTAAGTTCACCACCTAATTTTCCACACCATATTTCCTCATAAAATATTTAGAGACCATTTTCAACCAGGAGAACTCAAGATGAGGAGGAAGAAGTGAGAAAGGTTGTTCTTAAAACATGAGCACTGATGTGTTCTAATGCAGAAGTATCAGATACGCAGCCAGTGGACTACATTGTGGCCCATGACACTCCTGAATATGACTTGAACTGGATTAGAATATAATTAGAAAATATTTAACAAAATTGGTAAAAAATATAATAATACAGAAATAACATTACATTTAAAATTCAAAACAAAGTCATTGTGTGACCACATTTTAATTTTAATTTAATTTATTTTAATTATGAATAATTATTTATTCTAAAATATTATATATCATATATGATATGTGTTATATATTATTAAATAAGGATAATTAATAATTACATATTAATTACTTCATAATAAAATGCATTTAAAATTTAAAACCAAGTCATTGTGTGACCACAGGGACCCTTACATATAACTTAGTGGTCTCTGTTTCTAATTGAGGTTGACATCATTGGTCTATTGGAAAGAAAAGTAAATGTGAAATCAGGAAATATGAGTTTAAGGACTATGTCACTTGTAATCTGTGACACTACAAACAGAACATGAAAAATATGGGCTAGAACAGTCTGTTCTCAAAGATGAAAGGGTTTTAATACATGATCATAGAGGTCCTTTGGAAAAATATTTCTTTGTCAGAGTTAGGGCAGAATGCTCTGGTGGGGTATGGTTGGGGACATTGTTGCAAAGGAGACAGACACATTTCCTAGGCCACAAAGCATACCAATATTTGAGAACTTGGGAGTCAGAGAAGATCAGCACAAAGGGGCTAATGGTTGGGAACCATGCTGCTAAAAAGTTTGAGGTGGCCAAAAGCCCAGGGTGATGTTTGTCCATCTTAAAGAGGTACAATGACAAGCTAGAGTTAATGGAATAAAAGAAGATATATGTGCTCACTAGTAGGAGGATAGCATGGGTGGCTTTTTTCTCAGGGAAAGTTTTGGGAGAGCTATAAGGATTGTGAATATGTTGGACTTTCTGATGGTGTCTATGCAGAAGAAACACTAAGTAGGCACTGGCCCAGATCATGAATCCCACACACATAAATCAAGAATAGAAAAGACAGTTGCAAAAAGTGCGGCATTAAAAGAGGCAGGAGTGAAAGTTGAACAATCTCCCAGATGCCACATCCTTGTATCATTAGTCATATATGTTGAGTTATACATACTCCCAAGGAAAGTGAAATTTAACAGTAGATAGAAGCACCAGCAGAAGAAGCAGGCAGGGACAATATACTTTGGGGCTTTGATTTTGAGTTCCATTCACCTGGAGTTACTGGGACTGATGGTGATGACTTGAAAACCACTCAAGAGGCAGGTGATGCCGAGGCAAACACTCCGAGCCACATTATGGAGATAAGCAATAAGTTTACACCCAATGAGATCCAAGAAATTTGTGATGCCCACACACACAGTCATTAGAGGGATTCCCTTGGAGAAAAGCACTTCTGAGTTGGCCAAGGCTAAGTGAGCAAAAATGTACTCTCTGGGCCTCAGCCTTTGGGCAATGAGTAAAGTGAAGCTGTAGAGGCCCAGGAGGAAGAAATTCCCAAGAATCCCAACTCCCGTCTGAATAAGGACGAGAATGCCCAACACCAAGTCAGTAAGCATCATTTTCTCCAAGTCTTCTGAAGAAGAACTGTGGTCAGTGCTGGCAAAGCCTATGAGAACTTGAGAAATTTATTTAATTTCTAAAGTTCACTGCTGGAGAGAATGGAGGTCCACTTGGGGAACTTTGGGATAATGTGTGTTGGGTTTAATTTGAGCTTAAACTCCCGAAACTGATATTTACTTCCTGCATTTTCCCTTGGTAGCTGTAAACCCTGAATGTCACGAACCCCAATTTGAAACAGAGTCTGCTCTAGGAAAAAGACAAATGAAACTGGGGTGCATGTGTTCACAGTTTAATTTCTCTCAAGCTGGCTTGACGTGCATTGCATGGAAATTCAGTCCAAAACTGGGGTCCCCTCAGAGGGCCAGTTCAGAACTGGCATGGTTTGGGATTTTGGGGTACAGTCTTATATACCCTTCAAAGATTAGGTGTTCCCAAGACGTTCCAATCAACCGTGATCAGTCGACATACCAGGAAGTGGGTCATATTAAAATGAGGTCTTGAGTACATTTTTTAAATCACCTAGTCTACAGGGCCCCATATCAATATCGAAGGCCATCAAAGGAAATGCCACCCCCAGTATTGGGAGTCTGTCACCACCCAAACCTGAATAGGATAAAATAATTCAGGCCTGGGTTGGAGTTTGGCCAAGAGAAGAAAATTCAATGCAATCTCATTATCAGAGATGTCCTTCTGAAGAACATCAGTCTTTGGTCGGAATGCTGGCAGGGTGGAACTCTAAGTTTCCAAGACACAGATCACCAGGAGAAATCATTTTTCACATAGCCAAGATACAAAAGTCAGCAAAATAAGAGGAGCTAACAGTTATGACACCAGAAGTCCATCTTCTAATGTGCAGAAGATTTTTCTTTTCATGCTTTTGACTCTGATGCTGGAAGAATGAATTCACCAGTTCAGTTCCAAAAGAGCAGTTCAATTTCTTACTAAAATGAGATAAATAAAAATTACAACTTAAATAATTAAAAATTACATTTTAAAATGAGAAATTGCCATCAAAATTCATGTCACCCTGGGCAAGACAATCAACTTCTCTCATCCTTAATTGCCTCTCTCATTAAATGAAATAATAGTTCCTACTTGGTAAGGTTTTTGTGGAGATGAAATGAGATAATATAAGCCACTACAAATACATTAATTCATAATTATTTGTTGATGAGCATTATTATCTTTATTAATAAAATCTCAGCAACTTAAGTTAGAAAGTGACCCTGGGCAAGTCACTTAACCCCAATTTCCTAAAAGCAAAAAAAAAAAAGAAGAAAGAAAGAAAGAACGAACGAACCAGAGGGAAACTTTAAGATAGATAGGGACTTGGAGGGCCAGAGGCAGGAGCATTACCAACTCTCCCAAGTTATGGATAACAAGCTCTTTGAGGCCATTACCCTTAGCATTTCCTGGAACCGTTGATTTAACAAAGGTCCGAGACACTAAGCATGTCCCAGGGAAATCTGTCTGTCAATTTCATGACATTTGTGATGTCTTTTGATGCCAACTCTGGTCTCTAACACAATTATGCAGTGAGGCAAGTTCAGTTTCTATATTATTTTGTTAATAATCTCCATCCACCCATCTTTAAACAAATTAAGCTGGCTATTTGATTGGCAACATTCTGACATCGGTTTCCTCATCAAGACTGCAACACAACTGTCTGCCATTCTGGCAGAGGAGGATGAAATCAATAGGAAAGAACTTAGAGAGGTTAAAAATATTTTTTTTTCTTACAAGTCCATTGCAATTGCAACATCCTGTTTCTTCCTATGTCCCTTCTGTACCCTCAAAAAGAAAGCATTTTCCCTTTAATTAACAAGAAGCCCAAGCTAGGAGTCTGCTATTAATGTAAAAAACCTGGGCCACTGGATTACAGAATGTAGAATGAAGGCTAGGGTAGATGTCAAAAATGGGAAAGCAACCTAGAAAGTATTAAAGGACCCCTCCCAGTCCTGATTACTCAACATGACAGGACTCTGGGGAAGGGTGGCAGGGAGGAGTCGAGATGCCAGAGTAAAAGCAGTGACTTGCTTGAGTTCTCCCCCAAACTCCTCCAAATACCTGTAAAAAATGGCTGTAAACAAATTCTAAAGCAGCAGAACCCGCAAAAAGACAGAGTGAAACAAATTTACAGCCAAACATAGCCTAGATGGTTGATCAGAAAGGTATATAATGCCAGGCAAGGAGAGGAGCTCAGTTAGGCACAGGCGCATAGGAAAAACAGGCCTCAGCAAACCTGGAGCAGTCCTCATGAGAATGAATCACAGGCAGGTGTGGTGGTTTCCAGACTTTTCAACCCAGGGACACCAAGGTCAGTGGGAAAGGTCTGTGACTGCAGTGAGAGAAAAGCCCAGTCTCAGCCCCAGGCTGCTTCCAGAGCTTCCATGCCACAGACTGAGAGGGAATTGAGTGTCTGCTCAGGATTGCAGGGATCTCTCCACTGCTGCAGGATTCTCTTGCTTTGCCAGTGTTTGGATCTGGGTCACAGTTCTGGATGGCAGTCCTGGGGCCAGGAGGAGTGCTGGTGTGGTGCAGTGTGTAGTGGTGGTGAAGAGGAAAGCTTCCTCATAGTTCCAAGGCAGAAAAGAGCGTTTGTGGTTGCTCACGAACCAGAGCACAGGACAGGAAAGGAGTAAACACCTCGAGCCTTATTATACCACCTAGGAAGAACTCAAAATTTACAGATCCCTAGAAGTATCTCTGAAAACAGCTGCACAAAACCCCTGAAGCTTGGGACAGACAGTACATTCTCCACACTGGAAACAGACCCCTATATTAACAAAGAGTTTATAACTCAAGTAGTTGGCTGGGATGATGACCAAACCTCACAAAAAAAGTCAGATCATAGAATCTTTCTTTGGAAACAAAGAAGATCAAAACATGCCACCAGAAGAAGGCAACAAAGTCAAAGCTCCTACATCCAAAGCCTCTAAGAAAAATATAAATCAGTCCCAGGCCATGAAAGAGCTCAAAAAGGAGTTTGAGAAAGAAGTAAGAGAACTAAAGGAAAAACTGGGAAGAGAAGTGAGAGTGATGCAAGAAAATCATGAAAAACAAGTCAACAGCTTGTTAAAGGAGACCCCAAAAAATACTGAAGAAAATAACACCTTAAAAAATAGCCTAACCCAAATGGCTAAAGAGGTCCAAAAAGACAATGAGGAGAAGAATGCCCTAAAAATCAAAACTAGACAAATGGAAAAGGAAGTACAAAAGCTTACTGAAAAAAATACTTCCTTAAATATTAGAATGGAGCAATTGGAAGCTAGTGACTTTATGAGAAATCAAGACAATGGAAAACAAATCCAAAAGAATGAAAAAATAGAAAATGATGTGAAATATCTCACTGGAAAAACAACTGACCTGGAAAATAGATGCAGGAGAGAGAATTTAAAAATTATTGGACTATCTGAAAGCCATGATCAAAAAAAGAGCCTAGACATCATCTTTCAAGAAATTATCGAGGAAAACTGCCCTGATATTTTAGAAACAGAGGGCAAAATAGAAATGGAAAGAATCCACCAATCACCTTCTGAAATAAATCCCCAAAGGAAAACTCCTAGGAATATTGTTGCCAAATTCCAGAGTTCCCAAGTCAGAGAGAAAATATTGTAAACAGCCAGAAAGAAACAATTCAAGTATTGTGGAAACACGATCAGGATAACACAAGATTTAGCAGCTTTTACCTTAAGGGACCACAAGGCATGGAATAGAATATTCAGGAGGGCAAAGGAGATAGGATTACAACCAACAATCACTTACCCAGGAAAACAGTATAATCCTTCAGGGGGAAAAAATGCATATTCAGTGAAATAAGGGACTTTCAAGCATTCTTGATGAAAAGACCAGAGCTGAATAGAAAATTTGACTTTCAAAAGAAGACTCAGAAGAACATCGAAGAATTAAACAAGAAAGAGAAATCATAAGAGACTTTCCTGCATGGAAAGATGATATTTGTAACTCATGAGACCTTTGTCAATATTAGGGTAGTTGGAGGGAAAAAAATATGGATAGATAGATAGATAGATAGATGGATGGATAGATAGACAGAGGGTACAGAGTGAGTTGAAGATGAAGGGATGATATCTGGAGAATAAAATTAAAGAGTGAGAGAGGATTATACTGGGAGAAGGAGAAAGGGAGAGGTAGAATGGGGTAAATTATATCACATAAAACAAACAAGAAAAAGCTTTTACAGTGGAGGGGAAGGGGGGGAAGGTGAGAGGGAATAAGTGAATCTTATTCTCATAGGATTTGGCTTAAGGAGGGAATAACATACATACTCTATGGAGTATAGAAATCTATCTTATCCTACAGGAAAATAGGAGGGGAAGGGGACAAGAGAGCAGGGGGATGATAGATGGGAGGGCAGATTGGGGGAGAGGGTAATCAGAAGCAAACACTTCTAAGGAGGAACAAGGTCAAAAGAGAGAAAAGAATAAATGGGTGGCAAGATGTGATAAAGGGAAATGTACTTAGTGTTTTCACAACATGACTACTATAGAAATGTTTTTCATGACTACACATGTATAATCTGTATCCAGTTTGCTTGCCTTTTCAAGGAGGGTAGGTGCAGAGGGAGGAAGGGAGAAAAATTGGAACTCAAAATTTTAAAAAACAAACGTTAAAAAAAATTGTTTTCACATGCAACTGGGAAATAAGAAATATGGGAAATGGGGTTTAGATATCTTTCCTGCCCTACAGCAAAATAGAAGGGGAAGGGGATAAGAGAAAAGGGGGAGAGATAGAAGGGAGGGCAGATTAGGGGAAGGGGTATTCAGAATTCATGCCATCCTGGGGTGGGGGGAGGGATGAGATGGGGAGAAATTTTGGAACTCAAAATCTTGTGGAAGTGAATGTTGAAAACTAAAAATAAACTAATTTTAAAAAATAAAGGAGGTGTGACACATGGAGGGGGATATTCAGAACATGTCTGCCATCCCCATGATTCTTATTTGAATATCTCATTCCTCATAGAAGGGAAAAGGTATCTGCCCTTGTTGACACTGGAGCCACACTTTCAGTTTTGAATTCCTCTGCCTTCCCTACTCCCCTCTCTTGGGGAGTCATGAGTGTATCTCATTTGTATGGATTGCTTACAATACCGTTGCAGCCCATGTCTCTGAGTCTCTTCTCATTTTTATAGGAGGGATTAACTCTTTTCATCCCTTCATCCTTGCCCCTGATGCCCCTATTCATTTGCCAGTGTGTAATCTGCTCCATAAACTACAGACCACTATTTCTTTTGATCTCAAAGGAACTCCTTCCTTGTGCCTCTTGTCCCAGACACCCTGTACTTTGTGAATTGTTTTGAGCCCCTCCCCTGTCACCTGAGAAAGGCCTAAAACATGGATTGCCCAATCTGGAGAAAGATATTTTTGGCCCACTCTGAGCTTAACCTACCATAATGCTTTGCGTGCCCTGCCATAACAGACATACTTTATTCTCTGAGTGACCCCAAAATGTCCCTTCCTGTGTCAGCAACTACAAAGCCCAATGAAGTTGATCAGGAGCCTTCTTCTGTTTATGACTGTCCAAGGTGAGACATCTTGAACTGCACAGTATCTTGACCAATGGGACTTTTTCTTATCTTGGTAGTTTATGAATATGTGTATGAATATGAATGTATGCTACATATATTGTCATGTTAATAGTAAAATGATAGACCCCTAGATCTATAATTTCAATTCACACTTTGGCACTTATCTTGTCTTATTGTATTTATAATCTATCCTACTAAGAAATTCCTTTCTCATATTATGGTTAAAATATTTAGAGATTATAATTTTGTCTAACACTGGTATCCTGAGTTGGAATTGCTCTAAGTGTATAAAGAGTCTCCTTCAGCTTGTTTACCTCTGAGTTCAGAATTATTTTCTGACTCTATCATGCATGATTCTTTGGTTTACTAAGAATAAATAAGCATATTATAGCGCATGTACAGCCTGATTCTGTTTGTTCCTTGGTCAAACCTTTGGTAAGGTGAACCCCATTCTATTTGTTCTTGAACAAACCCTTGGTAAGGGGGAATCTCATTCTGTTTGTTCTTTGAACAAACCTTTGGTTAAGGGGGAAACCGATTCTCTTTGTTTATTCAGACTAAACCTTTGGTAAATTGTTGACAATCCCTAGGACTGTCCCCATTCCTTAGGCCTTTTTTCCCTTAAGCCCTTCTGACCATTCTGCTCTTGACCAAATCCCCTCCAGCTTATGGGCTTCAGATGGCACAGATATAGGGTCACTCAGTAGTGCTCCACCAATTCTTGTGCAATTAGACCCCTCTAAATCTTGCCTTCCATACATATTCCATGCAAGTATTGACCCACTTAGCACTGAGGCAGTTGAACGGGTTTGGTCCCTTATCAATGTCTATTTGTCTAAGGGCCTTATTCGCTGTGCTTTCCCCTGTAAACATGCTCAACTTTCTAGTCTGCAAGCCTGCTGGATGGGGCTGGTGACTTGTGCATGATCTCCAAGCCTGTTGTCCCAAACCCCCCACTCTGTTTAACCTTGTCAAATTGAGTGTCAGACCCTTGACCTTTGTCCCAAATCAAGGCAATTGTAAAGGCATTCAATCTATTTGTGGGGTAGTGTAGGATTCCCAGAATGGGCTCTTGTTCCATAATAATACTACAGCACTGACTACCCTTGCCTTCAGACCCACTACTCCATGAATCTCATTTACTTCGCCTTGGAATCATCCTCTGACACCTGCATGTTTGAAATTGAATTAACCTCCTCCACCAGACTGTTCTTCTGATGCAGCTTTTCTCTATATCATAGCTTCCCTCCTTTTAGGGACAGTTTCTGTACCCTTCTGTATAACCTCCCCAAGTTATCCCTATTTCCAGAGAACCACTCTACTGAAGCTCCTCTCTGGTTAAGGTTGTCCCTTCACCAACATTGGAGCATCACTTTCCTGCCCATTGTGGCTCTAATGGCTGTCATCAGATCCTTGACTGGCACTGAAGCCACTTTTGGCATGCTGCACCCATCTGTTGGGAACCTCTCAGAGAAGTTAGCCATGGGCCTGGAATAACCTGAAAGGTTAGTCATTAGCCTCCAAATGCAGGTTGATTGTCTTGCCCTCATGGCATTGCAAAATCACTGGGTACTGGATGCACTAACTGCTGAGCAGAGTGGGATATTGACCTTCATTGTACAGGAATGCTGTTTCTACATCGACCAGTCCTCCCTCGTAGAGGAGGTTTTATTGCTCTAAACAAACAAGCTGAAGATTTATGGAATGTGGTCAAGACATCCTTAAATATTTCTCTTTATCACCTTTCCTTAATTTGTTCTCCTGGCTACCTGAAAACCTCAGCAACATTCTCTGCTCTGTCCTCTTTGGTCTAATGGCTTCCCTCCTTATTTGCCTTGCTGTCCATCTTGGCATTTTCTGTGGGCCTTATTTCTCACCTATCCACTTATATCCTACATAAAATCATGTTCCAGGTGGTCATCCCCCCTTACTCTACAGGGCTATTCTGACCTTTGGCCAAAAGGGGGGAAGGCTGTAATGAGATTTTTAATTTTCATATCGTGTACCCCTCCTGAAACCATTTTGAAATCCCAAGACCTGAGAAAGTCCTAAAAGCTGGATTGATCAGTCAGGAAAGAGACATTTTGGCCCACTTTGAGCTTAACCTACCATAATGCTTTGCGTGCTCCTGCATAACAGACATACTTTGCTTTGCTCTCTGAGTGAACCCCAAATTCACCTTCTTGTGTCAGCAACTACAAGGCCAGATGAAGCTGATC